GAAATTGAACAGTCTAAATGTGTTTCAATTAGGACAACAATATCCACTTGACTATTAGCCAGTTCCAATTGTAGTTTGGCAACCTTGTTGACAGTGCTCCTAACATTTGTGTAGAATACCTTCAACTTCGAAGTGTGACCCTGTCTTTGAGGTTTGAGTCGAACATTCAGGCACGTAACCAGGATTAATTTCTACATCGCCGCTGCATAGAATCATGTAAACAGCTGGATTAAAAGCACAGGAAGCATTTGAGTATTTAATACGCCTCGAGAGAAACTTTGAACGCTGGAGCCTCCCAAGTTTTCGAAAGCCACCACGTGGAACGACAATGAGCACTCCAACATCGACATTCGTTCTGGAAAATACTTGTGGCCGAAAAACAATCTCTTCAGATTGTGCACCATGGTAATAATGATCGAGGAAGCTATTGTGAGGAGGCAAATTGCAGAGAGGCACAGAATGGAGAGCAGAAGTCGCTAGAGCATAACCATCCGCCATGTTGGACACAATTTACTTGCTTTGACCTCACTTGCCTTTAGTGAGATCAGTGCAACCTCGAATACTCTATATACTTTTAAGAAAAGAAAGACTCCTCATTTGACAGAGAGAAACTATACATGGACTCATACATATGTATGTATATGTATATAATCACAAATAACTACTACAAGTAATATACATTAATATCAAATCTTTTACAGTGACCTATAACTCAACAAATGTCTTTCTGTTCAACTGGACAAAACACTTATCTCAGTTAATGGAAGATATCATCTTCCAATAGTGTGTATGTGTGTAGCACCTACAATTGGTCCTCACCTAGTGATGGACTGACTGAATTCTTTGTCACCAATTCTATTGAATGGGGAGTGTATAGAACTTCAGCATAATGGGGTACCATACGAAGGTGGTGAGGCAATGCCACTTTATGTGATACTGGAGGAACATGAGATACACTAGTGGTTAGGGGTTGTTTAGGGAAGGCTATTGCTAACATTTGCATCCCACTGGCTATTCCATCTTCTATGGATGTCAAACACATGGTCAGTTTTGAAATAGACTCTTCCGAAGTCTTGTTTGATTTGATTCATTTCTTCATGATGAGATCTCCTTTGGCTTCCTTGGCAATTTTCTTCATATGCCCTCTATTGTTGTCAACCAACCAGGGGATATTGGCAAGAGTGACCACTTCCATATAATTTTTTTAAGAGGGGGGTGGTACAGAGGTTTCCTGTGGACTGGCTTGCACTTGAGGAATCGGGTGACTTTAAAGTTTATGTATCTAAAATTTGTAATGAATAATTGGAGGCAGTGGGACTAAAGAATGTTAGAATGACCTCTTAGAATTATTTGTTTCTAAATGATCATTTCTAACAACAAAAAAGCCTCTAACTTTTTACCACTTTAAAACCAAAATATTGTCAGCAGCCAACCACTCTTCATAGTGTCCATACATGTGCTCCAGCATTCACTCTGGTAATGATGATGGAAAAGTCATCTTCCAGTTTCAACAAATTATCTCGTCTTTTTTGCAGTAAGAAAACGAAGGTGTCGTTGGGTCAACATCATAGATTCAAAGTTGGAAATGGAAGTATAACTTTTTAATAACTCACACCTTTGCACCTTTCATCATCTATTTCAGAGCTTACTGAATGTATCTCCATCAATTCCAAAGGAAAGGGACCTTGTAAACCACAAACAAGGCAGCCTACCCCATTTTTCAGTCAACAGCTCAAAAGTTTCTTCAGCAATCCTCCCACTTATGCTTCTTGTACCCTTGTTAACTGGTGCCTAAAAATCTTGTCTCACATTTCTTATCTTTTCTCTAAAGCTATCACACCCTTTCTTGATACGACTTTTTTCATCATCTTGGTATTTCTTCAAAGCTTTGTATTCCCTCACATTCATTTCTTATAGAGGCTTTACTTGTTCAGTAACAGCCCCAGGATCAAATTCTTCTGTAAAATCAACAGCCAAATAACGATTTATCTTGGTATGCATCAAGTCCAGGTTGGCCTTGAAATCAATTCCATTGAAGTAGCACTTCATTTTGAAGTTTTTTAAGCACCCTATAAGAACTTCAACTGGTTGCATTGACCATGTTTTGAGGTTCCTCTTAGCTCTCCTTAGTGTGGACAGTGAATAACTGTCAAAGGCTTTCCTCTTGCCTTTTGCTGCTTGTTGTTTGTATGGCCCATAAGGCAAATAAGCCTTATTGTCAGTCGGTGCAAAACACCCTGTCAGGTCTTCTTCAGTTCCACCATCAGTACATTCTTGGTTTTTTTTAGCTTTGTTCCACACTACTGCAGTTATTTGGCTGTAAGCTGAGTGATATTTTTAGAAAATTTCTGAAGTCTTGCCAAAATTTTAGTCCAAAAAGGGTTTTTGGCTTATAAGCAAGATCTTCTTGAAATCAAAACACAAACAATTAGTATAGGTCACTACACATGTTCATATTCGGCTTATGGCCGAATATCCAACATGGAAAAACTAAGCACAAACTTGTTTACATTGGTTATTGGCTTAAAGGGCATGTAAACCCAAAAATACAAGTTTTTCTTAAACAATGTAAAAAGTCGCATAGAAAACGAATTTGCTATTCGTTTTGCCCAATTCGACTTATTTTAGGGAGAAAATTGGCATTTTAAACTGAAATTCCACTTCCGGTGGAAACAATAGCGAGAAGTCGTGACGTAAGCGGTGGAACGAAAATGTTTGCACAATAGGGGTTTCACTGTAGAATTGGTATGGCAGCTCGTGCAAGTAGTAGTAGTTCGGACGATGTTTTGTCAGAAGAGAGTGATTCGAATGCCCTAAACTTATATGACAGCGATGGGAATAATTCAGAACCTTTCGTCGAGTCTGGGCCACGTCCCTATCAATATGAGCCGCGTAGGATTCCCCGAAACGATCCGCACGAAGACAGCATAGAACCGGTTGACAGCGATGACGATCGTCTCGGAAATACAGACTGGTATTTAATTCACTGTGTGATTTATTTGTATTTGGCATGAAAATCCAACACAGTAAGGGTTCAGTCTAAAAGAATACAAGAGAAATTTTATTTAACCTGAGCTTCCGTGGGTTTTTTAAATAAAATTATCAAAGGTGCGAGTGTGGAACTTGTCAACCAATGCTGACAACACATGAGAGTTTGTTGTACGGAAATCGGGCAAGTGTGGCAAAAAGTGGAGGAACAAAGGCCTGAAACCCAGCTGAGTTGCATCACAGAACATCCAGGTTTTCAGTCAACCTGCCTCGATGTCTGGGTGCTGGAGACCGCCTATTACACGTACAGACAGCAGTACGGCACAGTTAATCACACCGAAAACGAGTAAGCTGTGTTGCTTTTTATCTGATTTGTTACATTTTGAGATCGATTTCCTGGAGTTTTTTTGTGCTATCGATTCAATAATACAGAGGTGCAGCTAGTTGTCTCGTCTTCCCTGCAGGAAATTTCGCTACATTGCCTACAGACAACTCGTTCGCTGGTGCTGGGGTTATCTTGGCAAACATGTGAGGGTCGCTCTGCCATCTTGTGCTGTAAACAAAATCCGAAGCACTTTTCCAGCGGAGTTTGGAACATCTTACACTGGATTAAAACCGCCACACCTCTGAGAGAAACAAAGGTACATATTAATGCAGATCATAATTATTCATGTCTTACAGCACTAGCGGTTGAGCCTGTACGTCAGGAGACATTTATGTATTGCTTTCCTTCACCTCCGAAGCACTATTATTGATAAGCGTATTGTCACGTGTAGATTTCCAAGTGAGCAATTATCGAACCCTGTTTGTGTTTGCTTCGATTACAAATACAGAAAGATAGTTTTGCAAGCTGAACTTGGAATCTTGTGAGCTATATTCAAAGTAAAAATATCATCCTAATGACCTTTGAATGAACTTTCACCGCTGTGCAAACCGAGACACATATTCTTGAACTGCTGTTTCTTTGCAGGGCTTCTCAAAGGAAGCAGCAAGTGGGGCTGGCATGGATTCCCTTACATCCTGTATAGAATTCTTTAATGACCCTTGGTCCTCTTCATACTCCAATAACAACATTTCAATTAAAGCCTCGGTATAACCTAGGAATAATAAATATTCACGAGTTATGTAATTGTTTGTCTTGTCAGGTTATAAAATTTAAATTATACAAACACAATTGCTGTACTTGTTAATATTTGACTTCTTCCAAAGAAAGGTAAAATATCAGGGAATAGAACTGAAGAGGACAAAAAGCGAGGTTAAAACAATGAAACAAACAAATCAAATACTTTTAGTTCTGCTAAATAGTAAGAGAGACCAGTAGTGTACCACAAGTAGCAGATGTCTTTTCCTTTCGCACTGAATACTCTCCCTTTTTGAACTTTGGGAACCTAATTGTGTAGCAGGGTCTTCCATCCTTTGTCACTGCCTGTAAACGATCACTGTTTTCATTGTAGTGAAGGGCAGCCAACAAAAGTCTATCGATTGAAATTAAAAAAAAGTAGGTCTTGTTTATTGTTACATTTGAAAATGTCACAAGTTCTAGCAAAGGATGGTTTTATCATTCTGTATAATTTGTTCAGCAATTTACCTGGCATACATAGCTAAGAATGCAAAAGCAGTATGTTTGGGTGCAAATATTATATCAAGACTGTGAAGTGCCTCCAGAGAAGAAGTCTGGTAGAGAGGTGATACCATCCTGATGTCTTTCAACAAGGACTTGCTGAGTAGGATGTCGGTTAATTTCTCACAAACCTTTGATGCTGAAAAGCAAATATAAAGTAAAACAACATTTGCCACCATAAGAAAAACACTTGTCAAAACAGTAGTTTTGTAAGTTTTATTGACTTGTATATCTGACATGGTTGGAGCCACTCCTTGTCTCGATCATCCTCATCTAGATGGCCATGGGCACATTTTGGATATAATTCGCTATGTCCTTCATGAACATCTTGAATGTGGTTAGTCAGTGATTTCCACATAGCCTCTAGCATGTCCCCATTGCCCTCTGTGGCAGTTGCAGCCATCCAGTAGAGGTGATTTATGATAGACCTCCTCCACAGGCCAGCATTTTCACAATCTTTTTGCTTTGCGAGGGCATCAATCTTTTTACCAATTCCTTTAATGAAAGAAAATGGATGAGGAATGTTAACTCAAAACTTCCAAAATGTGCAAATGATTTCAGTTTTCTTCAGTGATATACATATACCCAAATAATTGTATTATGAAAGTTTCACAGACTAATGCCATTTAACTTGCCCTTAGCAATGTGCCAGATGTCATAATAATGTCTGGTTCCTTTGGGTGCCATATTCCTTCGTATGTAGGCTGCATTTTGACGATTTCTGTCTGTTATAATAGTAGCCAAGTCAAGGTTTTTCCCAGCAAGAAATGTCTCCAGACGAAGAAGGCCCTCATGTTCACACCAGGAACTGTTTGGCACCTCATTAGACTTGAAAAGATTTAGATCAATTAGTTTTAGTCTTAATTATTAAACAGTTTACTTATGGCAAAGCAGAAGTAGTGGCCTTTAGATGGATAACTTACTTGAACAAGCTGAACATCCAACACTTTGTTGATCCTTTGTTCAATGACCGTAAATGCCCCATACTTAGCACTGTGACCTGGGCTGTCAGATCTACCATCCCCAGAAAGAACAACACCACCGCCTAAATTACGTACTCTTTCTACCAATTTCTCCTGCTCTTCCTTCCACATTTTTATGACAACAGGTATGAGATAGTTCTTCTGATGTTTATGATAGGTCTGGCGGCTAAAACACTGGACCTTCAGAATTTTCAGCATTCTTAGGGTTTGGGAGATCATACTACCAGAGTAAAGAATAGCAGCGGATAGCAACAGATTTCCAGCCGGTATCTTTTTAATGTATGGTTGGCTTCTCCAAACACGCGCATAACTGCAGCTTAAACATTTTTGGGTGACGTGGATAAGAGTGCCTACCACATTAGATACCTCAGATGTAGAAGGCTCAGTGCACAGAGGACAGAACTCAAAGAGTTGCATCAAGCAGGAAAAAAAGACGATGAACTTGTTTTCACTTTGTGGGCCCTCTGAACCTTTTTTATTGTAGGATGTCCTATAACAAAATGAAAAGTGACCACAACTTAAAACAAAATTTTTAAAAAATCAGCTAGGCGAAATCTAAGACAATCTCTTTTTACCTCGAAAGTTTTTCTTCAAAGTTTTTCGGTTTGTTTTCCTCTTCCTCTGCTTCTTCTTCCAGCACGTCGTCAGGGAGAAATAAATTTTTTGGAATATAGTCCAGGTCTTTCTGATCATCGTCGCTGTGATTTCCAACATTCTTAACAGGACTACACAAAGGCGTAGAACATGTGGGTACAGACGGTAGGTTGATGATCTCACATTGGACCTTGGCCTCAGTTGTAACAACTTCCACTTGTGTGTCTGTGTAATGAAGAAAGCCATCACGCTCAATAATGGGGAAGGGTTTCAAAGCGCAGAAACTGTGCTAAGATTTGTTTTAAAAAGTTATCGTCTTACCCACACTCGCCGTAGATTTTTGTAGAACATCGAACCAATAAAATTCCAGATCACACTGTATACCGATATCGACAAATTCTCTTTCTCTAGTGAGTGCTTCCGTTTCAGACAAAAGTTCAGACAGGTCAGTGTCTTTTATGGGCTCAACGCAAGCTCCCGAACAACTGGATTCCCCATGGTCTTTCAATAGCTGAGAAGCAAAGGTTTTTTGAGAACCTTAGTTACATTTGTTTATTTTTCTTAAGGTTTCTACGTAAATCGATTTTGTACTTACTCTATTGACCTCTAACTTTTGAAGAGCTCTACTTCTCCTCGGTCGTTTCTCAGTTCGGTTGGCTACTTTCAGATCATCGCTGTCTGCCGACGGTATGGGTCTTTTTTTTACTTCGGAAGAATTTGCTTCTGGTAGTGCCTGAATCGTCGGTACAGCACCAGGAAGAAGTTGTTTTTGCTTTTTAAGGCCCATTTCGACCATATAGCTTTTCTCGTAACAATCGAGAGAAAAATGACTGCTACAAACAACAGAATGTTCGGACGGCTCGACGAAATTGGCTCTTTTAACTTGAACAAATTTAACCCATTGTCGCTTCAAATTTGCGTCTTTTGGAAATTTATGCATTGTATGTCCGGTTTTGTTTGAATTACTACAGAACTGAACGACACAACGCTTTACCATTATGAAAAAATTGAATGTATTCGACCAAATTGTAAGTACAAAAATCGTGACGAGACCGACAAAGACGGCTGCGAAGAAGATTTACACGCGATTGTCAAACGAAGCTTTTGACCTCTAATACCGGAAGGTTCCACCCATGACGTCACAGGAAGTATGGCGCAATTCAAGATGGCGAATGTTTTGAATTTGGAAGAGCTTTTACTGTATGAAAATGGACTTTTGGGAAAAAACTAATTATACCGATGGTGTACCTGAAACATATACTAAACAGCTACGTGAAAAAAAAATGTGCGATTTTTGGGTTTACATGCCCTTTAACAGTGGTGGTGGCTCCTGAAAGAGCCATCTTTTTTAAGTGAGAGCACAGTCATCCCACTGTAGGTCTTTAGTCTTCCTCTTTGCTGTCCACCTTGAACTTGTGGGCAGTTTCATCTTCTGCTTCATCATCCCAGGCTTCAGGTATGCCATCCATCTGCTCAGCATAAAGGGCATCATCTTCTGTTCCATCAAGCACGTTTGAAATGTCACAAACCTTAAAGGACTTCTGAACCATCTCTGCAGGAATTTCAGCACAACTCTCCTTGATCCAACAAAGAAGCATGTTGTACATTAAATGTTTCTTCTTTCCTGCAGGCATGTATTCATATGGGCTGCAGATGAGTTAAGTCAGCTATTTTTGTCTGATATTTTCTTTGAACGGCTTGTTCAGGCAATGATTGAGTGGTTGAAGAACCCTCCCGGCTGCAACATCAACATTCTGGCCACCAAGAAAACTCTTGACTTGGTCGGTGTGATGGCCTTGCAAGGAATCCCATGCTAGGACTGACTTTTTATTGGGAAGACTACAGGGCAAACATCGGCAGTTCTTCTTCATCTATCCATCCTTTCTTCTGGAGTTAAACCTTCATAGAACTGGGAACAGTCAGGTCTTGGCATCTGCACTCCTTTAAAAATGATTTTGGGCTGCAGTTTTATAGAATTAGCAGCAACAGCCAGAGTCATAATAAACCTTCACTATTTCCGCACCCCATGACTTCACAGTAATAGAATGGCTTCCACAAGATTCCAGGGTTTCAGCTCAATGGTATCTTAAAGCGCATTGGCATCTCATCCATGTTGTAGATCAAGCTGCGATGATAAAGCTCTGAAACTTTACAACTTTCTCCTCCATATTTGCTGGAAGGTGCTTAGTAAAGGGTAGTTTATGTTTGGAGACTGATAAACAAACTGAAAGTCTTCACAGAACGAGTCCGCTGACATATGTGTTGACGGGCACTAAAAGGTATCGGTATCCCGGATTAACAATAACATCAACAATGATTCTATCTTAAATGAAGTTTCCAATGTTTGGATGCTTGATTCTATCCCAGGGATGCTTGAAATGCTGGATCTTCAAAAAGTTCCATTGCTTCAAGGAAGCAATGGAAGCATCAAAACACTAACAGCAATACTTGGAAAATAGAAAAGGACAATCATTAGTACTTGTTGGGTGCAGATTGGCATGCAAGTTTGTTTGCCTTTTCAACTAAAATTGACCAATGAGCGTTTTTAGTTTCCATGGTAAGAGGTGCAAACATGACACTTGACGCCTATCATTCCATAAAATAAAAAGTATGATAAAATTATCTTAATTTTGTGGTTGCTAACAAAGACCAAAAAAATACATAGCTAGAACTTGTCTGAAGCCCTTTAATCTGCAAACCACGGAACAAATTGTGGTCAAGTTGTGAATACTTGGGAGTGTAACATCCATTGTTCTTCTTTTCATGAACATCTTGAGATTGCTTGCCTTTGGCTTAGCAACGATTTTTAATTTGAATGAAAGACTGTACAAAGTACAACACGCTTTAGGCATGATTATTGACAGGCAAGATTGCAGTTGTTTGCAAGAATACCAGTATTGTAAATGACAATCCTGATTGTGAGGAATATTTATTAAAACCAGTGAAGAAGTTACAGTCACCTTTTTATTGGTCTCCGTTCTAAAATTCTTTATGAGGTATGAATATTTGTAAAACAGCTGGAAATGCATGTTTCCTAACAGGGTTGGCCCTTGTTCTGCTCAAACGATTACAAATGTTCATCAAGCAGAACAAATGGAATTGCAGGAGGTTGCTTGTATCTTGCAAGGTCAGCTAAAGTAGGATCTTGGTTTATGATGATAATAATCAACTTTATTTAATGAAGATTACACAAAGCAGTAAATATACTGAAGAACCAGTGGCCCGTAGCAAATAGTACAAACTAAAGTACTAATAACATTGCATAAAAGCATTAATGACTAACTATATAAGGAGTTATTAAAATACAACTATAATATTAGAGTTAAAATTTAAACTATCTAGTACGTTAAAAAAGAGCAAAGATGAGGCCAGTTAATAAAATATAAAATTTAAAATTACATGATAAAATAATCTAAATCTTTATAGCTATTCACAAAATGGTCTAACATGAATTTCTTGAAGCCTAAAAAATTCTGTTTCCAATCTCGCTTGGGAGAGGTAAACATTATGTAGAATTTTTTCGAGTTTGTCTAAAAAACCTGTATGAAAAATTTGGGGTTGTATAGATCACACCCACAACAGTATCATTAGTTTCTATCCACAGGTTTTCAATTGAACCTATTTTGAGGTCATATCTCATTGAGTAAGAATAGCCTAATCTAATATACAAAGCAACACCCCCACCTGCTGTAAAAGGTGCGATTTTCATTAAGTAGAGTGTCTTGGAATTTGAATATATGTATGTAGTCTTTATTAATTTCAAAACAACATATACCTGCCAACAAACTTGCAAGGTTTACAAAAATTCATTACT